TTCTTAACATTCTTTCGAATCCCTTCGTAACCTAGTGGTTAGGTTATTCGCTGTTATTTTTGTAAATTCAACTTCGAATCTTCACACTTTTAATTTTTAATTTAACATTCTTGCTTCAAAAGAAATAGAAATTACATATCTTAATGTCACACACAATAAAAACAGAAAAAATACCACTAAACGAACTTAAATGGATTAATTAATATCAAATTAAAGCGGATGGGTTTCAAACTTTACTTGTATTATAATATAATTAAAATTCCTATAAATTAATAATAATAATTAATTATCCGACAAACTTAATTTAAACCACCTTGTGTTCCTAATTTTGATTAAAGTTGATGGGGAGAAATGAAATTTCCAAAAAGATAAATAATTAAAAAAAAATAAAAATAAAATGTGAATGAACAGAAATAAAGATTACTAATCTTTTGACTGGACATTTTGTCAAAAAAACTTTATAATTGTCCGACAAATATTCCCCATCAACTGAATAACTCGGTTTTAGTTCATTCCAAGTGACAAACACAGTAAATTAGGCACAGTTTGGCTTGTGATTTTTGAGCAATCAAAGTCTGGTCAATTCAACACGGAATCAAGTTCAGTCCAAAACCAATTTAAGACTTGACAAAAGCCATCTGAGCCCAAACTTGAACAGTGTTTGTTTGGAATTTGAGCTTGTATTAAAGTTTGATTAGGTTAGTAGAGCATGGTCTTGTCTTAGTCATGAATATCATCACCGCAAATATACCCCAATGAGTCGAAAGAGAAAATTAGGGATGGCAAGGGGCAGAGATATAAAGCAGGTTTGCCTAAGCGTATCTATTTTCGTCCCACTCCGTTTACTCTTTTTTTTTTTCTTCATATAAATAAATTGATAAAATTTATACAATGGAAATACATAGTAAATAATGATATATATATATTTATATATAATAATGTGCATATATCTAATTTAGGGGCAAAAAAAAGTGCATATATCTATAACACACACACACATATATATATATATATATATATATATATATATATATATATTGTAGAAAAAAAAAAAAAAAAGTATACGGGGTGGGGTGGGTATTTATCAAAATCCGTCCTCGCTCCGTAACCCGTGACTGGTTTAAAATCAAAATCTTTATCCGCCCATATGGTACATAAACGATTCTCATACTCGTGCCATTAGGGGCGAAACAGGGTGGGGCACTGGCGGGGCAGTTCAATCCCTAAAGAAGATATTACATAGTTTGGGACTATTGATCTCGGTCAATCACCATTAAAATGTAAGTAAATGTTTTTAGTAAATCTTATACATTTCTAACACAAAAACTAAATAAAGCTTATATATTTCTAATACAATTGCTTTGAATGATAATTGGTCGAGAGGAATAATTCTGAGACCATCTAAAAATTTCTCTGGTAAAAAACTCTAAGTAGTGGAATAGAACAGAAGAAGAGAAAATGTTTGTTTGTCATGATTGTGAGGAGATGGTGAATTCAATTAAGGCCAATGATGTATAAATTTAGTGTAGCCAATTGAGTGATGGAAGAAGTGATTAGCTTTTGGAATATGGTATAATAGGTTTTTTAAAGGAGGATAACGAAGAAGTAGTGATAAGATTTCTGAACATTATAATAGGCTCTTGTCAGATAATGCAAAAGAAGAGACAAAAATTTAGTGATGCCAATTAAGTGTAACTAGAAAAAGAAAAAGTTTGAAGCTTTTGGGCTGTGTTATGATCTTGAGTTTACTTTAGTGAAAATGTTCAAAAGCAACGGGATATGGTTAGAGAAGGGAGAGTAAACAAAGTTAAACGGTTAGAGAAGGGAGAGTAAACAAAGTTAAACCAGTCCCAATTGAAGTCCTAATGAATCAATTTTGTAGTGACATAAGAGTACAACAAGAGCTCTTATGTGGGTCGTTACAATGACATCAGAAGCATGATTTAGTCGGAAGTGTACCGACAAAAAAGTCATGTGGGCGGGTGCAAAAGACATTGGTATCAAATTCTGATTCAGCTGAAAATGTGTCGATGAGAATGTCGGGCCTCCTAGGGGGGTGGATTGTGGTGGCCTATGTGAGCAGTTGCAACAGGCACTGACATGCTACAATACTTGGCTACAGGTTACACAATTTTATATTGTCTTGGTAAGATATTGACAGACTACTACACTAGACAAGTTATAAGTTGGACAAAAAAAATATGAAGTGCTCATATGTGATGGTACAACAAGAGCTCTTGTCAATATTTAAAGAAAAAAAGAAAAGAAAAGGATTCTAGCTCTAAATGCTTAGGAGAGATATTCTATTTTTATATTTTCTCTTATCCTAAATAGTTAGATATTTTAGGAATTGTGAAACAATTCTCAATTCCTAATTCTCAAAGTACTCAACAATTCTCTAAGCATCTAACTATTTAGAAACAAAGAGAGTAACATAATGGTAATAATTAATTAGATTAAATTATTCAACATCAGTCAATTTTTGTTTTTTGGTTTGGATCTTTTGTTGCTACATTATTATTATTATTATTGGGTAATTTCAACACATAATTATGTTAATTTGTGAAAGTTGCAAAAACAGTGCTAAGTCACAATAAGTAGCCATGAGTCGTAATGTCTGGAGGAGCAAAAGGTTTTGGTTCTTCTTGGGACTTTTACCAATACCAGACGGTTATTTGACCGGCTTTACCGGTAAACGCCGGTCCAACGACGTTGAAAGAGGTCTCCAGTCTTTGGGTCAAAGACTCAATCATAGTCCGCTCACTGCCGTCAACTCAACAACCGCACGCCGTTATGTCCCCTAACCACCAGTTACAATGACGTAAACGAATCACATCCGTTCAAATCTCATACTTTTTCCTACACCGTTCGATTGCTCCCGCACGCTTGTGCACTTTTGGATTTACACAATAATTACTATAGATCCAGGCGTGGTAAAAAAGCTTTACTGCACCCCACAGTACAAACACGGTAAAAAAATTACCTCAAAAGGTTTTAACACTGAACAGTGAGCAGAGAAAGAGCATTTTCTTTTCTTTTACGTAAAAATTTTCTCGGCAACCAAACAGAATCTTCAGCCTCCTCCAGTACAAGAGACAACGTTCTGATCCAAAACTGCCGTTTTTTCAATGTCGCGATTGTTTCGAGCTTTTCAGACAGGCTTTTCCATGATTTCTAGGGTTTTGTTTCCAAGCTGTCGTCTTCAATACAGCCGTTAAAATTCTGTTTTTTACCCTAATGCTCTGAAAATTTTCCTGGAAAATTCAGTAACAAATCCAAGAAAATCACCGAAGAGTGAGCTATCAAGATGACAGATCCGAGATATTTATTTTTATTTTAAATTTTTTTCTCAAAAAAAGAGAGGAAGAGTCGTAATAAGTGAGACAGTGTTTTGTGCATTCGTTCAATCACTTTCTTTCTGCTGAAATTGTTTCTTCTCCGTCTCGCGCTTTTCCCTCTCCTTTCTCTATCTCCCGTTCCGTGCGATTCCATTCTCTCTCTCTCTAAAAGGACTTTCTCTTTCTACAAATATTCTCTAAATTACGCCCTGTACCTTGGCGCACTTTAGTTCGAGGACGGTGTATAGTGGGCTTGATTAAAGTAGAATAAACGATAACATTATCTTAAAAGGTTTGCCGGGAGATTCTCAGTATCTGTCGGTGCGATTGCCGGATTGAGATGTACATATACATCTATATATAATTATATACTTGTATATATATAAAAACTAGTATATATATATATATGCTGTACAAGTCTAATTGAAAAAGTTGACCCAACAACTGAAAGCCCAAAAAACAAAAAAATATGGACCTCTTTATAAAACTTTTTTCTCAACGAGAGTGAGACTTTTAAAAATAAATATATAAATTCAAGTGGAAGATTTTGTGTGTGTGAATTAATTATCTACCAAAAAAATATATATATAACTATTAATTTAATTATTTAAACTAACAAATGGCAGCTGAAAACTTCTTGAACTTATTCATAAAAAAAAAAAAAAAAAGTGTTTTCACAAGCGGTTTTGTTTTTTTGTTTTTTAATTTTTTTTAATTTTTTATTTTGCACTACTATTGTTTCTGAACATTGTTTGGAAGAGAAAAAAAGGAAAAAAGAAAAAAAGAAGAAGAAGACGGTTTTCATAGCTATTTAAAATGCTCTACTGTTTCAAAATAGTTTACAAGAAAAAAATTTACAATCATGTATCTATTTAACTTTAGATTGCCTTTTTACTTTCTCCAACATATTTATTGCATATACTTATTGAAATGTTTTGGCAAGGTAGATGAGTTAAGTTTATCCGAACAATTCAAAATTTTATTTTGTTAAGAAGTGTATCAAAATAAAATTCATTAACAATGTAGCAAAAATTATTCACAAACAAAAAGAAAAAAAAAAAAAAGAAAGAAAAATGTACCAAAATTTTTAAAAGGCTATTTTGATGGAGCTTCATTGTAAATATAGCTCAAGTTGGGCATTGTGGGCCTACTTCTCCTCAAACAGGTGTGTCGTGTTCGAGTTCTCCACTCCCTTAATAATAGTTAGAAAAAAAAATATAGAGCTCAAGTTATGAAATATAGTTCTGATTGATAAGTATTACTTACGAAAAACTCGACTACTCACATTGTGTGTGTGTGTTTCATATCTAAATTACCATGCTTTTGTGAGTATAAAAAAGTTGTCCACTTTCATTATAACTTTTTTTATTTTTATTTTTATTTTGTTCCTTTCTAAAAATAGATTGGGATGAGTTTAATTCAGCTCATTAATGACTTTGTTAATGAGTTGAGTTGAAGTACATGAGGAATTTACTCTATAATTATACAATTCACCTTTTATTCTTTTTTTGGGCACACATTGCTTGATAATTCTTAAAGTGAAAGCAGGGATATAATTAATATTCTTACATTTCTACTGTGAAAATATTCCAAAATTTTCTTACCCTTCTTTGTTGGTTTGTTGCCAGTTGCAATATTATAAAGGAAGCAGTATGAGAAAAATTAAAAGAAAAAGAAAAGGCTACAGAAAGGCCCAAGAAGCTTCTTTTCTGCATCAACAAAAACCAGCTGTTTTGGGGGTCTCACCAGAAGAGAGCCACTTCTTGTTTTACTCTTTTCACCCTTTGTGTCTTGATTCAAACCATTCTCTTCTTCTTTCCTTCCCTTCTTCTTGTTCAATCAATAACAAATTTTTACAAGAGTTTTGATTTGTGCTATTTGAATCCAGTGTTGTTGTTGTTGAAGTTTAATGTCAACACCATTAGAGCATGATTACATAGGGTTGTCAGAGATGGAAAGAAGCTCTGACAAGATCTCTTCCTCTTCTTCTTCCTCCTCCTCCACTCTTTCCACTGAGGAAGGGAAGAAGAAAAATGTCCTCAACCTCAAGGAGACAGAGCTGAGGCTTGGTTTGCCTGGTTCTGAGTCTCCTCCTGAGAGGAAGGCTGGATTTGGGATGTCTCTGTTTGGGAAGGATTTGGAGGACAATAATAATAGTAAGAAAAATGGCTACTCCATTAGCCCTATCAAGAGCTTTGTGGCTGGGGCTAAGAGGGGTTTTTCTGATGCCATTGATGGGTCTCCCAAATGGGGTCTCTCTGTGAATGGTGGTGGATCTGAGGCTTGTTTGGCTAAAAGTTCTGGTTTGTTTTCCCCCAAAGGAGGGAGTAATGGGAGTGCGATGGAAAGTAAGAATATGAAGGAGGCTGCTGTTGTTGTTCCTCCTTCACCAAAGCCTGTTCAAGAGAAGAAGGAACATCATGGTGGTGCTCCTGCTGCAAAGTAAGTCCATCTTTTTTCCTTCTCTTTTCAAATTCAATTTCTTATACTCTCTATTGTAGCTTTTAAAAGAGGGTTTCATTGTAAAAATATGCTGGGTTTTGGTTATGTTACTATTTCTTTTGCTATTGATTTTGGCTTCATGTACTCCTTCCCTTTCCATTTTCCCTCAGCCTTTTGGTCCTGCTTTCTATGCCTTACAATAATATGTAGAAAAACCAAAATCATTGGAATTTTGGGTTTTGGATTTTATTTTATTTTTTATATTTTTATTTTTTCCCCTGGGATTCAAGCAGATTATAAGCTCCAGAGAAATAAGCTATTGCAACTGTTTGGCTGAGTTGATTAGACTTTTCCTCTTCCATTTTTTTTTTTTTTACAAGCCAAAGCTGCAAGAATACACTCAGTACTTCATTTGCTTTTCTTTCCCCTTTTTTCCTCCTATTTTCCCAGCAATCAAACATGAAATTAATTAATTGCTTCCTCTTAGTCATAATTAGTGTATTGTTTCCTAAAGGCTATGCTGCCTTTGGAGCCATCCTGTGCATCAATCACAGTTAGGTGATTCCTCTAATTTGCTTAGAGTATTGTCCTTGTGTATTGGTGAATTTATTGGATTTGATAGTCCTTTTTATGTAACTTCCCCATGGATTAGTATTAGTGGACTATTCATGGCTGTGCTCTTCTAGATTTTGTCATCTATTTTTCGAAATGATTTCCATTACTTTTTCTTCTATATTTCTTGTGAACTTTTGTTTTCTATGGCATATGTATTGCTTTAAGCAAAGACATGTTGTGTTATGGTAAACAGGGCACAGGTGGTTGGATGGCCACCAATTCGATCTTTTAGGAAGAACACCATGGCCACCAGTTCAGCAAAGAACAGTGATGATGCTGATGTGAAATCGGGATCGGGTTGCCTTTATGTGAAGGTTAGTATGGATGGTGCTCCATATCTAAGGAAGGTCGACCTCAAGACATATTGCAACTATGTAGAACTCTCATCGGCTCTTGAGAAGATGTTTAGCTGCTTTACCATTGGTATACTCTCTCTCTCTCTTAAATTGATAATGAATTGAATATTTTGGTATATATACATGGTCCTAGTCGATTTGATCAGAATTTCTTAGAAAATTGTTTTATTTCTTACAAAAATTATAAATCATAAAATATATTTTCTTTCCATGGATAAGGTGATACTGTCTTAACTGTCTGCAATTCTTATTCTTAATTAATTTATTTATATTTGAAAAAGGAACTACTTAAAGTTTCATCTCTTTATACCCTTCAAACACAGCAGTCGAATAAGTTGTTTATTTATTTATTTATTTTTAACGAGATTGAGTTTTATGGTTGGATCATTATTGTTTGAATTGAGAAATCAGCTTAGCACAATCCTTGTGAACTTTGAGAAAACTCTCCTGTCAAAATAGACTCTCCTAGGAATTGTTTTCTCTAGTTATATTATTATCCTAATTTTTTATTTTATTTTTTTTATATATAAATATTCTTGGATATTCTTGTGGTTGTACTTTTTACCACTGTGTAGACGAACAATTTGTGTTGTTTTCCTTCCTTGAAAATAAAGATAAAATGACTATCACTTCATACCTCCTCATCAATTGAGTTCGAGTGTCCTCGGAGTGGTGGAGTGGATATAAACCTAACTTTTTGGCATTATTTGCAAATGTGTTTGCCTTATTCTGGAATCCACATTCACACTTTGTAACCAGTTGTTTTACTATTACACTATGCAGTGGCTACTTCTTAAGAACAGGGATTATATATATATATATATATATTTTATAATAATATTAAGGACAAGTACAATATAAATTCTCATTTTTTTCCATATCCTCTTTTCACTCTTCTAATTTGCAGTCTAGGGCTTTATACAGCTTGAAAGATCCATTATTGTGAATTGTTAATGACATGTAGTAACATATCATGAGTGTTGACTTTTATTTTCATGCATTACTGTGATTCAGGTCAGTGTGCTTCTCATGGACTTCCAGGGCGAGATGGGCTCAGCGAGAGTCGCTTAAAAGATCTTCTGCATGGATCTGAATACGTGCTTACGTACGAAGACAAGGATGGTGATTGGATGCTCGTTGGTGATGTTCCTTGGGAGTAAGTTCTATTTCCAGTTAAACCTTACTTGGGTTGTTCACTTGTTCTGTATAAAATCCAATATCACTTTCTGTGCTATGGAGTGGAATGGTTTAAATATTCCACTGTAATGCCTCGCCTCTAATCGCTGGATAAAACAGAGGCTAACCAAGAGTTAGGATCAATACTGTCTTGTGTGCATGAAAATTTGAGAAACCGTCCCTCAAAAACATATAAGATGCAAAATTTGAAATAAATATCTCTGTCTTTCTTGAATGTAGGTTAATTCGATTGAAAGCTTCTGATTTGATTTTTAGAATAAGCGGTTAGTTGATGTTATGGTTTATTAGCTATAGCTGTAAGGGCCAATTTGGTAGAATGGAAATTGAGCGAAAAAAACAAAAGAATGGTAATGGAGGGAGATGAGAAATTGTATTTGGTATGAAATGTTGAAAGGATAAGAAAGGAAAAGGAAGGATTTGGAGGGATACAAAGGCATTAATAGTAGCTTTTGTTATCCTCATAAAAATGGAGAGAAAGGGAAGGAAAAGCTAGTATTTTAATGAAACTTTGTTAATACCAAATTTACCCTTATTTTATTTTTTATTTTTGTAAAGGACCTCATTAAAATAGTTTCTTTCCCTTCTTTCTCCAACATGATTACTATGGAAGAGCTAGTATTTTAATTAAACTTTGTTAATACCAAATTTTCCCTTATTATTATTATTATTTTTTATAAAAGACTCATTAAAATAGTTTCCTTCCCTTTCTTTCTTCAACATGATTACTATCATTTTCTTTCTTTTTCTTCATTAACCAACCAAGCACCATAAGTAATTAACACTATCCTTTGATTTGCTTTTGTTTGTAACAGGATGTTTGCAGAATCATGTAGGAGATTGAGGATCATGAAGGGCTCGGAGGCAATAGGACTAGGTAAACCCTCACCTATTGAAGTCTTAAGCATGTGATACTTATTTTTGTTCCATGATCATTCTAATGCAGCCCGAATTTCTCTAAGCTTTGCTCTAATCCCCTCTTCTAAAGGCATTCGAGTTCCGTATGTGTTACTTAAGCCATTGAGTTTTTTCGTAGTTCATGAATCAAATTGAACCTGTATATATGTTTAACTTTGGGCTTGATTGGTTCCTTTCTTTCAGCTCCAAGGGCCATGGAGAAGTGCAAGAACCGAAACTAGTGTTTGAGTACGAGTGAGATCGAGGCATTTCCTGGAAGACCGAAGGGTTTTTTTTTAAGCAGGCAATCTGTCCCGGAATCTCATGTATTTTGTTTTCTTAAATATTGTAGGTTTGTAGTTTTTCACAGACCGGAAAGAACTTCCTACTAGGGAGAAGATATAAATTGAAGACATCCAGTTGTTTGGTTGTTTTGCTGTGTTTTCTCTGAATTTGTATTTCTGTACTTAATTTGCTACGTGAATGGTGTGCTTGCTGATTGCAAATCTCAATCTCTCTTAATAACTATTAATTCTTATGCAAGAGTTTTGTGACCTTCTGTCACATGATAAATTTCTGATTGCAAATTTTCTTTCAAATAAAGCCAAAAAGAAAATTTTCAACTCAACAATTTAGCCATGATGAGAATGGAGGGTATCAATTTTTCCGACAGCAGCCGCTGGGAAAAGCGCTGACGCATTTGCTTGTGTTATTTGGTGATTGGCTTAGGACCAAATGGTCTTGTGACTATTTAATGCCGACACATTTACTTGTGTGTCATTTAGTGATTGGCTTAAGACCAAATGGTCGTGTGACTATTTAATAATTTCTCGGAGAATTCTCAACTAACTCAGTTCAGCTTCATCCGAGGGAATTTCTGGGGCTAACTGGTTTTGGAGACCTCAGTGCTGAGAACAGTAAATGTTCATCTTGCCCTTTGTGCTAGCTTCATTGCTTTGTAAGAGCCGAGAAAAAGGTCTAGTTTTGAATAAGATTTGGTTCATGCCTTCTCAACTCAAGAAAAACCCACTTCTGGTCACAAGATGTAATTATGCATTAAGATAAAGAACTGAGTTCCAACATGCATGTTCATACAGATTCAGTAGGCAAGTGTTGAAAAAGGTCCATGGAAGTTGGAATGAGTGAAAATTGTAGCATAATGAAGGGGAGAAATTATTACACAATCCCGGACCAATAACTAGCTAACACGCAACCAAATGTGTCATTTTTTATTTATTTTTTTGTTGACAAGGTTAAGCAAACGCATACCCATGCCTCCACCGAGGCTCGAACATTGCAACGGCTGCACCGTTGCCCATTTGATGTCATGCATAAATGTTGTTAATTGAAATTTATATGGCTATACTGCAATTTGGTAGGTATGGACGACCAAGAAAAAATGCTATTGATGGAACAGACGAATACATAGCCAAAAAGGAAGAGTAAGCAGTAAATATAATAACAACCAAAACTACTAATTTCTTAGAAAAGGTGTGGTAAGAAATGACTTTGTAAAGTTCAAACTCCAAGAAAGAAAGAAAGAAAGAAAGAAAGAAAGAAAGAAAGGAAACCCAAATGAAATGAACAACACATTAACACTAAATTCATGCAGCTAGTGAAGCAGCTCATTTCACATCTACTTCTAACAGCTTTAGGATTCATGTTCAGATATCTGAAGATATACCATTTGAGTATATCCATTGAATACAGAAGCCTCGAATCTAGTCAGGCCGAGCCTCTGGAACAAAGCAAACCTGCCGTCCTCAACAATAGGACTGGGCGTACGAGCGGGATCATATCTCGTTTGATGAGTAAGTGAAGGACCAGCCACTGGGGGAAGCTCCCAATAAACATCAAGCACTGATTCTACAAATCTGCTGTTCTGAAAATGTTCAGCGTAGGTAATTGATTTATTACTATGGCTAAAGTCATCCCGCATCTGACCTCTTACACCCCACCATGCTTCTCCCGGCCCACATAACTCTTCTATATCAACTGCCTTCTCCCAGAATTTCTTCCTTCTTGATCTAGTCCTAGCTTCGTCGCTTTCTTTAAAGCAGCTATGACCACCGCCTGGAGAAAAATTGCCATAACATGACATGAATCCAAAAAACTTGGTACAGGATGGGTACAGTCAAATTACCAGGACATCAATTGAAGCAACCCTGTGACCATGTCTACAGATAACAACAATATATGGGCAGTTGGGCAAAGTACCTATAAAAAGAGTGTAGTTGAAATGGAAAGATAGGGATACGAACAACTACTAAAATTAGGGATGAAAGAATCAGACAGATTTTGGAGGCATCATCAAATGGTTACAATATAAGAAAGCCTTCTAAGTTCAGCTGAGCTAAGTTTATTTAGTTTGGCTAAAGGTATTACTTGTGGACGGACTACATATGAAGTTATTCCGAAAAGTGTCACAAATACCTTAACAATGACAGAATTTTTCCTTTGTCTTGCCAGTACTCAATCAGGCTAAACCTTATTCGGTAGGATGATATCGGTTCTTCGTAGTTTCTAAACCCTTCCTAAAAGAAATTATTTCACTTCACATAAGGCCGCCTACGCATTTGGGATCGTACACATATTCTAGAACGCAAGGGATCTCTGCTCAATACATGACCTTGACTAACAGAAAGCGAAGTGAGAGAGTATTCACCTCTTATATAAAATTGATCACATATCTGCCTTAAGGAATAATGGTCTCCAGTTCCAGTATCATAGTTGTCCTCAAAGACAAGATGTCTGAAGCCAGCTTTTAGGGCCTGCTTTAGTCTGCCCATCAAGGTAAGAAATAAAACGAAATCACCAATTAGCAATTCTGGTGGAGTAAACTCCAAGGATATCAATACCTTGTAGCGCCTTAACTTTCAAAACACAAGAGTACTGGTGAAAGATGTAAATGATCGAGAAATGTTTTATTAATCCAGAAAACTTGATTACTTTGCTTATGAATTAAATTAATAAATAAAATTGATTACCTTTTTAGTTCATTCTGATGGTCATCAAAAAAGATAAGAACCCGACTAAGATCTGTAATTGCATGTTTCTTCATTACACTCCCCCAGTCAACGCTCCCAAAATCCACGAAGTCCTTGCCAGCAAAGTATGTGCAATTTGCATCAACATAAGCAGGTCCCTTTTTGAGGTATTTCTCAGGATGGCGGGGTGAAAGTGACACAATTGGTTTATCTGGCATTGCTTGCCGCAAAACCCATGTAGAATGTCCCTTGAAAGCACCACTCTCAATCATCAGGTCCGGCTTCAGCCATCGGGCAATGAACCAAAGCCCAAAGCTGTGATCGAAACCCATACCGAACATGTTGTTCTTGATGGGTCGTGTTTCATAGATCGGTATGAACTCTTCCAGGCCCTTGAGTAGATCCTTGGATGTCCAATCAACCGTTTTTCCCTGTTTCGACCTGCCTTTTGCCAAACATAACAATTAAAGAGATAAGACTGTAAGAACTTAGAGATTTCATGCTCAAACTCAAATTTTCTATGTGATTATAAGTCTACTTCACAAATTGAAAGTAAAACAAAACTAATTAAGATCCTATTATTCAGATAACCACATTTGATAATGTCCAATCACACACATTTAATACATATTAAAATCCACTGAGACAACCAAGATCTGGTTCTTTCAAAGAACATTTCAAACAGGTGAAAAAATATGAAACATGGCGAGTAACCAGGAATAAAATGCCAGGAGATGTCCACAAAATTAGTGGCCATATCATCAACAATAATTCGGGCTGCTGTTTTCTTAAAGAATGAAATATTAATTGTGGGGGTTAAGGGGGGATGGTCACTTCAAAAAGTGCAGCATCATCGTGACAAATGGCAGCATGCCAGAAAATGACATTGCAGACAATATAATGGCAGAAAACCAAAATACACATTAGACTGATCAAGACAAGATATTCAGAATAACATAAACAAAAAGGCACATTTGAATGTTCTATGGAACCTGATGGCACCATTGTGTACACACAGCATTTAAGACATAAATACATAATCTTATAGAAAATTGGAGTCAACATCACATGATGGATGAAACAGGTCCAATTTAGAATTATATAAAATGCCACCATTTCAATATCATGCATTCATTTATGAAAATGACTTCCATTTCACATTATGGCCTCAATCACAGAGACAGTCAGACAGACAAACATAGAAACTTGTTGCACAATTTAATTTCCACAAGACGCCCCATCACACCCTGTAACACATATCCAATGTACAACAGACACAAAGGCAGAAGTTATATCACCAAATTACAAAATAATAATAATTTTTTTTAACAAAAAATAAAAATAAAAATAAAACAGTTGAACCTACACAACAATTAACAAATCACACCAAATAAAAATAATAATAATAAATAAATAAATAAAAACCTGAAGCAGCAGTTGAACCTACATAACAATTAACAAACAGCAGTCAAGTAACTGAGGAGGCCCCGGACGACATGGGCCGGATCCGACTCGCAAACACAACATTCAGTTCGTACAGCTGGGTCGGCCCATATAAAGACACTGCCATATGGGCCGAACGGGAGTAAGCCCATCAAAGGTGACCAGGGCTTATGGAGGAATAGGCCCAGATCCAGCAATCAGTAAATATCTTGAAAATATCTTGTAAATATCTATAAATAGGATATGGAATGGAAAGGAGAGGGAGCTTTTTGGGTTGAGGTGTAAGAATTCTAGAGAGAGAAAGAGGAGAAGGAATTTCTTGCATCTTCAATTGGCGCCGTCTGTAGGAAACGCATGGAAGTTTGGTTGATCAATGAGGAATATCGAATGGATTCAAACCAATTCGGTTGATCGAGACTCGATCTTTGGGATTTGAATCCAGATCTGAGCGATTGTGACCTACTCTGGAGGAATTACAATTCTTGAAGCTTTGGCAGGAGTGACTTCAGATCTACGCAACAACGAGTTGTTCGATTGTGGCAGGATCTGACGGATTTAGAGTTCAGACAATTCAGATCTCGTAAACAGTGAGCATAATTCGGAGAATTAGAAGCCAGATCTAAAAATTCCTACTCACGAAGCTCGGATCTACTCGCGAACTTGAGATTAATGCCTTTACTCCGTTCGGGAATAATGATAGGTGAAAGCTCCAATCCGATGGAGGCTGTCCAGCAAACAAAGCTTGAGGAGTTGATGAACTTGATTGAAGCTCTCAAAAAAGAGAATGCAGAATTGAAAGCTGGACTGCAACATCGGCAAATACCTGCGGTTTCGCATCCACTTCCAGTCGGAGAAGGAGGTGTTCAATCTAATATCGCGCATCAAGGCGAACAGGACGAGAACAATCAGTCAGCTCACCACCGTGATGAAAGGATGATGGACAATTTGCCGCCAAATGTTCGTCGAGTTGAAGATCACGAAGGATCGACTCACGTTGATCCGCAGCGGGAAAGGTTCGACCGAGAGGAAGTGATGGAGGCTGATCGCCGTCGAATAGCGTCGCCTTGGCAAAGAGAGTTCATAGAGGAACGGTCGTTCGATCCGTCTTACCGGCCCTCCATGGTTACTATCACTCATCACGGTTCGGAGGGCAGAACCGTAACTCACAGAGCTACCGCTGGACTCCAGAGAGAGAATGAAGCTCTCCGATCCGCAGCTCGGACGGTGGATTCACCATTCACTGACGAGATCTTGAATGCCCCGCATCCAAGGAAGTTTGCTATGCCAGTCTTTATTCTGTTCCACGGAACGACCGATCCGATCGATCATATGTATCATATCCAGTTGAAAATGGCCCTGAATACGGAAAACGACTCTTTAATGTGCAAATGTTTCCCTACAAGCCTGGCCGGACCGGCGCTCAGCTGGTTCAAAAACTTGCCTAGGAGCTCCATTGGTAGTTTCAGAGACCTGTGCGATCGGTTCATAAGCCAGTACTATGGGAACAAACGCCCGCCGAAGGACATCTCGAGCCTATTCACGATGAGGCAGCACAAGGATGAACGTCTCCAGGCCTTTCTTACCAGGTTTAATCTCACTAAGAGTATGGTGATCGAATGCCACCCTTCTACGGCAGTTCAAGCCTTCAAGTTAGCCATGACACGCGGAACTCCGTTTCACACCAGTCTGGTAGTGAACACGCCGACTACTATGGATGAACTCAATGAGAGAGCCGATGGCTTTGTGCGCCTAGAAGAAGAGGAGGCAGCTAATGCTCGGACAACGTCGCTTGTGTCGACCGAGGAAAAGTCCAAGGCAAAGATCAGGCAGAAGCAGGCTCAGCCGCAACGTCAGACCTCTTGGAAGGCAGAAAAAAGGTCCAGGGAGGAAGAGTTGATTACTCCGCTGAAGGTCACTCTGGCGAGGCTGTATCAGGAGAACAAAGACAAGTTTCATCCACCACTGCCAATTAGGCAACCCCTCGAACAGAGGGATCAAACTAAACATTGTGCTTTTCATTCTGATTTCGGTCATCAGACTAACGAATGCAGGAACCTGAGGAGGCAAGTGGAGATGTTGATAGCTAGAGGGGAGTTCGCGAGTTATGTTCAAGGTTCGGCGATGGAGCAGAATCGACCGGTGGAACAAATAAAAAGGAGTCATAAACAAAGCTCCCACAATTCACAACCAGTTCGTATAATCAATGCTATCCATGGTCGACCCGAGCCTAGTGAAGAGTCAGATGAGCTGCTCCGGGTGCGCCTGCGGCAGGCGCAGATGAAGAAAAGGTTCGGCAATGTGACTACTCTACACCAGCAGAGCCCGTCGATGCAGATAAAGTTCGACTGGACAGACCTGCAGCGTGTTCAACTGCCTCATGACGACCCGTTGGTAGTCAGTTTGACAGTGGCAGATTGCTTGGTGCGCAGAGTTCTGATCGATCCTGGGAGCAGTGCGAATGTCATGCCGAGGGACACATTTGACAGGCTCGACATTAAACCAGAGAGGCTCAAGCCCACCGGAAATCCCTTGTTAGGGTTCGATGGGAAGAGGGTGGAACCCGTCGGGATGGTGGAAGTGAAAGTTCAAGCTGCAGAACGAGCTCTTATGGAAACTTTTGTGGTTGTGGAAATTCACCCCTCGTATAATCTCCTGATGGGAAGAGGATGGATTCACAGAGTCCGAGGTGTACCCTCAACTCTGCATCAGGTCATGAGGTGCCTCGGGCCCGATGGAGATAAAGTGATAGACATTCGGGGGGATCAGGTCGCAGCCAAAGAGTGTTATTCCGTCACACTAAAGCATGCTGAGAAAGGAAAGGCGCCCGTCCGTTCGGCAAGCCCCAGATAGCAATTACAGGAACCTCCGCTCGAGCAGAATAGGGTGGAGGAGTCAGTCGACTTGACCGAGGAGCCCCTTCTGGATGTGCAGATCGATCAGTCCAGGCCAGAACGAACTACCAGAGTAGGTATAAGACTGACCAGAGAAGAGCAGCAAGAGCTAGTGGATTTCTTGTCCCACAATGCCGACGTATTTGCATGGAGTCACCTAGACATGCCTGGAATTAGTCCCTCCGTATCCTGTCATTCCCTGAATGTCAATCCCAATTTCAAACCAGTGAAACAGAAGCAGCGAAGATTTGCTCCAGAACGTAATCAGATCATAGCGGAAGAAGTCGATAGGCTGCTTGATGCGGGATTTATCAGAGAGGTGCACTACCCTGAGTGGTTGTCCAACGTCGTTGTTGTGCAGAAGAAGAATGGGAAATGGCGAGTATGCATTGATTTCACCAATTTGAACAAAGCCTGTCCGAAGGACAGCTTCCCGTTGCCTAAGATTGATCAAATGGTGGATGCCACCACTGGGTATGAGCGTTTAACCTTTCTGGACGCATATTCAGGTTATAATCAGATTCCTATGGACCCCGCAGATGAAGAAAAAACTTCTTTTGTCACCGAGCGAGGAACATACTGCTACAAAGTTATGCCTTTCGGGCTAAAGAATGCGGGAGCAACTTATCAAAGACTTGTTAGCAAAGTTTTTAAGAATCAAATGGGTAAGATTGTGGAAGCCTATATTGATGATATGGTGGTAAAGAGTAGGAAAAAGGATGATCATCTGAAGCATCTGCAAGATGTATTTGATGTACTAAAGCGATATGGGATGAGGCTCAATCCGACCAAGTGCTCGTTCGGTGTGAGTTCTGGACAGTTTCTGGGACACGTGGTCAACCGCAGGGGCATCGAAGTTAGCCCCGCTCAAGCAGAGGCTTTGATTAAGAATGCCGAGCCAAAGACGATCAGAGAGGTGCAAGCCCTCACAGGACGAGTAGCTGCATTAAGTCGATTTATTTCAAAATTGTCAGATCACTGCAAACCATTCTTTGACACGATTCGGAACCATGGAAGGCAGGTCTGGGGGGATGAGCAACGACAAGCATTGACTCGTTTGAAGGAATATATGCAGAATCCACCAGTCCTGTCAGCCCCAGAACCGGAAGAA